AGACCTGAAATCTGTCTATACAGTACATATTGAAGCCATTACTAATTATCCTAAAGGCTGTGCAGAGGAAAGCCAGCTCATCAGCAGACTAAGAAACACTGAATCCCTTAAGATTCTAAGGCCTTGCACTGGATGTCTGGGATTGTGTGTGTTACTGATACGGAGAAGGGAGTACAGTGCAATTGGCTCAGGTTATACACTCAGCTGACATCATTACCTGTCAGCCCTTGTGCACTTCCACATACAGAGGAGCAAAGCTCTAAGCTGAGCTAAAGGCTGCCAAGCAGTGAGAGCCAGCAAGAGTTAAAGGGGGATTAGAGGTGAATGCTCCTCATTGTCTTCCAATACGAAGGGCAGACACAACCACAGCCCGTGTTATTGCTAAAATAAAACAGGGGACTCAACAGAGAGATTGCACAGTGTGATCATTTGGCAGTTCATAGTGCTAAATACAATAAACAGCTTCTCTTTCCTTTTTTTCCTTGGCACACATAGAGTTGCAAATGTGCTCCACCAACCTTTTTTGGCTTCCTGGTTTTTCTTCAAGCTTGATTTCAGGGGAGATAATTCATATAGTCATAAAACAAAGTTAAATTTTTAAGCAAATTGCATCCTCCTATTATTTTACTGTATTTCTGCTTAATGTTGTACACCTCTATTTCAATACAAGAAAGAATACCGTATTGGAATTTACATTTCATGATTGTTTTTTTTATAATGCTTTTAATCTATCGTCCCTTCCAAGTCTGCCAATACCTGCTTGAGGTGGATGCGATCAACTATCTAATCTGCTTATTGATTGGAATTAATATTGTTGTTCCAGCTGTTGGTTTGGCTACTTTCAAGAAACTTTCAAGATGAGGTTCTTGGATCATTTAGCTTCTAGCATCTGTAAGCAGCTAGATGGAGATCTTCATCTGAGCCACATGTCCCAGAATGCTGTGAGAATTAAGCTACCACTCTCAATCAACTGACCAGATGAAAACAATTGGTCAAGTGATGATTTACACACCAGGAAGCAAAGGCTTTCAAGGTTGATCTGAACTGCCATCTGGAGACAGAGGACAGGTCTTATGATTTACAGTTCCACCAGAGGAAGAACCCGACTGGGATTGTGAAACCTGCACAAAACTGACTTTGAGTCTTTTTCAACATGAGACTCCGAAGAGAGACTTTACTGTGGAGGCTGGCAATCGGATTAGTTGACCAGTGTGTATAGTGAGGGAACAGAGTGAGCTAAGAGGTCAAAGATAATCTTAGGTTTATCGTTGTGAAATGCCTGGCAATTTGGCAGTATCCCTATTCTCTGCTGTGCCACCTCCTTCATCTTCATCATCATCATTATTCTCCTCACCTTCTTCACCCTCCTCCTCCATCTCCTCATCAACTCCTTGTCCTTCAGAGGCTCTCCCTCTTTTCCTCTTTTGGTGGGGTTTTGATTATTTTCTTGCACTGTAAATAAAGAGCACTAGTTTTGTATCTTACATATCATTTGTATGTGTTTTACCTTGGTGCATCACTGTCTCACAATCAATGGCCTCCTCTTGTCTGTAACCTTTCTGATGCTCTTATACCATACAGATAGCATCGTTCACAGTATTGCAAGGGTGTAGACGAAGAACAGGAAACACCTTGAGCTCTGCCAGCACCTCAACAGATTGCCCAGATATCGCCAAATGTATCAGCTTGCCAAAACTGCAGTTACCCTTCTGTTTGTGATACACATGCACCAGCTCACAGATGCTTTTCCAGAAGGGTCACTCCTCCTGCCACAGAGCTAATTGTGCTGCATCCTGGGTACACCCTTCCAGTGTCATCTGTAGAGTATTTTAGGAGATGGCTGCTTCTCACACATAGCTCAAGGAGGGGCAACCATTAACAGAGCTTCAGTTAAACATGGATGAACTCTTGGAATTACTGGGAATTTAATATACAGCAATTGATACGGTACAAGGCCATTTGTACTAGAGACATCAAGGACAATGACTGCAGTTCATGTTACTTACCACCATGCAGTGCTGTGTACCTCAGAGGTAGGAAATGTTGTATATTTGTGAGAACAATGTGCTGCAAAGCTGGAACTGAGATGAAGCCAACACACCATAGGTACTGCACTGCCAAACAGTTTGTCACCTTCTTTTGAAGTCTTCTACAAGAAGCTCTGAACAATAACATTAATCAGCCAAAAATCCAGCAGCATTAATCATAAAGTATTATAGGCATGTTTTTGCAATTAACATATTGCGATCATCACAGGGATTAATCACCTACTCCTAATTAAGAGCGCAAAGCTCATTAAGGACTATCACTGGGTTTGCACGGCTCTGGACATGAGGGTTTTCCTTTGTCTGTGTGACAGTCTTCAAAGACTGCTGATCATGCAAGAGCACATACCTGAAGGAAGCATTTAATAATGGAATGAGCCAGTTATTCCACGCAAATTCAACACACACACACTCTGTTCACAACAAATCAACTATTTAATGCATCTCTGAGCTCATTACATTCGCAAGAGCGCACTGTCTTTCAAATGAAATAAAGCAGGTTTTTGAAGTCATGCAATCCACACTAACCGCACTGGAGATTCTGTTGCTGTGCTTCTTCACTTCCAGCTCAAATCACAGCCTTCCCCAAAACACGTCGCACTTCTTTTTTTTTTCTCTCTGCAAGGCGATCTTGTGATAGAAAACACATTCTTCCCAACTGCTTGCCAAGAAAGAATGGTTCTCTGTTGTAATTGCAGTAAATGAGAAATTACATTGCACTACTAGGGCCAGGCAATAGGGAACCTGAGCCAAACCCAAGACTGCTGGAACGGCCATCACCCTGTTGAACTCACTGGAAGGGAAATTCTTCTCAACGCATCAAGTTCTGCCCACGGCCGCACATTCGACATGCAAATATAAATCAGTATGAAAACAGCGACAAGCCATTTCTGCATAGTCTATGGAACCATAAAGGTATAACCTAGGAGACAGTGTCCATTAGAAGCACAGAAAACAGAGTAGTCCTGGGGATTCCAGCCCCTTACACAATACACAGTCCAGCTGGAACACTGGATTAATGGCCCTTACAATCCAAAAATGCAGACTACAGAACTTATAACAGGCACAGCAAGGAAACACACGCCAGAATATACTGTAAGAGGTTCTTAGAGACAAGGAAAATTCCTTTTATTCTAATGCAGTATGCTGGAACCGATTATGAAAAACATCCAACAGCCCGAAGCTGTAGAGAGTATGGCGATCTTTTCACAAAAAAATTTGTGGCCTATGTCATCATATACACTACCAACCATATGTTGCTCTAGCTCAGAAGGTCTTGGAGTGATCACTGAATTGGGTCTGAGCGACGGCACCACAGCCATTTGTTTTCAGGAATGTGTTCAAGTGGCGAGTTGCTATCTGGCTGGAGCAAAGCATGACTGGCTCCATTCATGAAAGACGGCCCAATAGAAAGGTGTCGCGCGCCCGCTTGCAAATGCTGAGTCACATTGGGGAGTTTCAGCAGCTGCTCCGCTGGCCTCGCTCTGGGCCTCTGCTGAGACAAATTCCTGTGGTCTCCATTACAGACATGCACACTCTTCTGGGAATGTAATGAATTCACCCCTAACCTAGGGAAGGACGATTTCCTAAGACTGGCGGGCAGGCCAGTGGAGCAGGGGGCGTGTCGGCCCTGGTTACAGGGAAGGTCTTTGACCCCATTTCACTTACAACACCCCAGTACAAGTTCAATCCAGGCATACACATGAGTGAAGGAACTACAGTGCCTGTATAGTATCTGCAACTGCTTTCCCGACTACAGTAGCCAGAAAAAAACCCAGACAGCTCTGGTCCTTGTGGATCAATAGGTCTTGCTGGAGATCACTCTGCCTGCGGTGGCGATTATTTAATTCAATTGTACTGATTTGTTGCTCAACCTGTCAATAATTAAATATCTCCTTCAGAGTTTAAGCTATTGCACAGATGTCCCTTTAAGCCCCCAGAACTGCAGGTTCTTGAGAGCCGGAAAAGCCCCGCCATGCTCATTAAGTGCAAACGATACTCTACCAGGCATGGCTAGAATAAACTGTAGTGGCATGCAACATTCACAAAGTTTCTTGTATCATTGCCCCAGGAGGCTATTTAATCTGTTTCTGAGACGTACTGTATATCACAGCAGCTAAGTAGCATTCATTAATCTGCCCTTGTGCTTTTAGGATGCAAAGTAAATGAACAATCATTGTGCTAGGACAACACATTTTCAAAACCAAGCACAAGCAAGCCAGAAGGCAAGTTATAAATGCACCGTATAATCAGAAGGAAGTAACACTTGCACAACATGAAATATTTATCATTACTACAGCTGGAATTAGGGGCTGGTCTTGTCAGGCTAAGGCTAGATCCTAGAAGTGAAAAGTACATCTATGTGCACTGAAATAGGAAAGTAATACATTCCAGAGATAAAAATTAATTTATTAAATTAGATAGACCATGAATAGTTTCATTGTATATACATTTCTATTTAAATACTCATCAGCAAATGCTACTCCTGAATACCTTACCCAAAAGCAGTAATAAGATGCAAAAAAAACGACAGCTCCACCTAATGGGCAATGTGTGAATAAAGTAATTTTCTGAGCAATTGGTCCAAAAGAGCAGGATAAAACATGCCTCTTTCCTTTAGACTGTAGACTTATGGAATTTTATTGCAGTTATTTTTTAATTTCCTGAATAAAATAAACTAAAATTGTTTGTGTGTAGGCTTAACTCTTTACAGCTTTAAGAAATGAGGCTTAGCAAATTTCATTGAACCCTATTTTAAATGATTTGCAGACCAATTATCTTCCGTTTTGAAGACAAAAACCTGTAGCTATGAGATGGTCGTATGATATAACAAAAAAGCTTCATACGCATGACCACAGAGAAAACTGATATCTGATGATGTTCTTCCACATTAAATGTACACTTACACATTTGCTTTACTTTGTGCCTAAAGAATTCAAAATAAGACACCCCCAAAACAGGACAGTATATATTTATTAGATAAAAAGCTGTAAAGGATGCAACTCCCCAAGTTTTGGAAAATTAAAAATACAAATTTATTGAAAACATAAGTGAAAACTGTAAAATACAGAATACAAAAATCGCCTAAAAGTGTATACAAAAAGGCACATACTGTATTATTTTCCATCATTTATAGGATATTGACAGCATTAATACATGATGAATACCATGCCTTTGTTAATATCTTTTGAGCAAATTACAAATTTATTTGAAATCCAATGCGCTTATAGTATAGGATACATTTAAAGACATGCCCAATTAGGAAGCATTGTTTTGCAATCTTCTATACAAAGTAAAATTATAATTTGACTTAAAAGGAGATCACATACACACATGCAGTATTGTTAATTCCCAGGAAAGCCCACTGATCTGTTACTCAGGTGTGGGATGTTCCAGGTCTTCCCAGACAAAAGGTAAAATATTCCCAACCGGCTGAGTGTGAAGAATGTTGTCGGCAACAGTTCAACAGGAAACACAAGACCAACGGCATCATTCCCATTCCCTTAATATGCACGGAAAAGGAATCAAAATACGAGGCAGATAATCAATTGCCATAGTCATCAGGTTTCAGAGTGCACAGGGCAAGGCCAAAAGGTGAAAACAGTAGTGTTCCAGCCATGCACATTGTCTGTATAAAGATAGGGAAAAAACAAAATACGGGCTAAACAAATAACTATAACAGTAATTCAGTACCACTCTCTGCTAGTGTGTCACAAAATTCTTAACACTTTAAATGGGTTTTTGCTGTGGGCTCCTGAATGCCTCAACTAGCAAAGGTGCAGGCTCGGAGCCCAGGGTGAGCGCCGGGACCCCGATGTCGTGGGTTCGAGCCTGGGTCATGTCCAGCTGTGACAAGGATTGCCCCTGCGGAAGTGCACAGCTGGCTCAGCCCCATCCCGGGAAGCGCTAGGTTTAGCTAGCACCTGCAGCCTTGCAGTGACATCAATGAGAGTAACACCTCTCCTTTAATTTGCTCGGAGCCTCCGGAACATCACTGCCAAGTTCGTAACATCTCCAGAGATGAACAGCATCATGCATGAGGAACTCCCTCAAATGCAGGAGGGCCCTGTCTGCACTTCCTCATTGTCCTCCAGAAGTATACAATGAAAATACAGTTGGTGATCCTAAAATAAACCCTTCTTTTTTGCTTCCTTCTAAATTATATTACACATTAGCAGGCAACTGGGTGTTTCACCAGGGTCTGGTCTGAACAGTTCCTCAATGAATCAGCCAAGATTCACAGCAAAATAAATGCCATGTGACTTTATTCTTCCACAAATAAAAAAACAAAATGGTGGAGCAGCTAAAAACACTAGCCACAAAATGTAAGTTTGCATATGCTGGATAATGGCAGGATGGTGTAACAGAGTGCTCAGTGGAGCAGAAGGGCAGGTATAAGAGAGGTAGAAAGAAATAGGTAGAGCTGTACTGTCACAGTGAAACAGTGCCTAGTGTGCTACTGTTACAGCACAGTTACACTGCCTTCATGGGGATCTGCTTAGGACAGACTTGTCCCCTGTTGAAAAAAATAGGAAGTGTTCAGACAAAATAGGCCTTTCATTTAACTCACTATTTAAATTGAGTGTTAATTGTAAATTGTGCAGACTGTTTATCCAACACTTTTTTATTATTTGATTATCATTACCAGGACAATCTCTGAAGCATATAAATGTCTCAGAGCAACAAAGAACTGCTCAAGTGCTTCATACAGATAAAAAATATTTAACTCTTTTGTTAATCCCTACAGTATAACTTGGGAGAAATCTGCACATTCACAAAGAAAAATGTCAAGATTTGTCAGTTCAAAGCCAGCAATCGACAAGAAGAGAAAACGATTCATTTACAGTAAGACAGAAGTCAGGATTAAAAACACCTACAATTACTCTGATCTGACCTAAGACCTAGAGTGAAAGACCTTAGCCTATACGTCTTTCGATCTATGTGATCACTCAATGAAATACAACATAAAAACAGAAAAAAACTTCAATTCCCAATAAATCCATATTGTCCACACTCAAACAACTATTTCAATAAGGTCTTTGCTTGTAAAAAAAAAATCATCAAGCAAAAAGGCCCAGGGAAAACGAGAAAGGAGATTTCCCTAACACACTTTCAAAAAGTACTTTGGAGTGACAATATGAGAAACATCGAGCTTATGAAGACACTATGGAACCACCAAATCACAATGACCTTTAAAAGGCCGAAGGTCATCTAAGCCATTTACAGCTGTAGAATATAGAAGATAGAGTGTCCTATTAAAAAACACCACAGCAATACTGGGCCTACTTTTAACTTTGAAAAACAACATAAGCAGCAGATCCTGAGATAAAAACCTATCTTAAAGAAGTCAAACAAAGTAGCCTACAAGACTTCCCAGTTCCCCAGTGACCCCTCCCCGCAGTGGGTCAAGACCCCGGTGCCAATCAGCTGAAATCCCGGTCGGTAAGAATGAGTGGCGCCACCAAGGTCCAGAGGTACAGTGCCAGACCCAGCCAGCTGGAGGAGATCTTCACCCAGACAGCTGGCATAGTGCTGACCATAGCCTGGTAGGTTGCATTGGGCCTGTGGACAAGGAAGAGACAGGAAAGAGGAGAGAGATGAAGAATGGGAGAGAACCCCCCATAGTCCAGCATTGTCCCATTCCTGCTCCTGAAGGACAGGCAGGTTATCTAGTTCCCCTTTAAACACACACCACACTAACTGAACCATCTAAACTCCTTTTTTAAAGATTCTGGTGATTTAGAAATGGCACTCCCAAACAAACTGTTGGGTAACAGCTCCCCAGGTCAGGGGTCAGACCCTGTCTGCTAGAGATTCAACAAACTCACAGGACGACAACCAAAACTTTTCGTCCCTTTAAAAATAGTTTTTTTTTACCTCCATATGAAACCTCACAATCCACCACTTATGTGTGATTACTGTACTGAAACTCTAATCATCTGTTTGTAAGGAACACAGTTCCTATACATTTCTGTCACTTAAAAGTCTCTTCAAAGATTCTCATTCCAGTCCAAAGAGAAGAGGTTGCCAAATAAAGTTCCACACACAACTTCTTTGTGCTTGATCATCTAATAGTGGATACTGTAGGACAAATGGTCCTACGAAGACTGATTTTGGGCTTGCTGCTTTTGGGTTTCTCATCAGGCAGACCTTAGTCAAAAAAGCTTCAAAGCAGTTTTTGACAATGAGACACTCACTGGTACCAGTTGGTGAGATTCATCATGATGTACAGGGAGGCCAGGAAGAGGCAGAAGTGGAAGAAGGAGTAGCTGTAGGTCACGCCCTCTGTCTCGTTGTCAACAGCGCGCGCCTGACCGTCGTCATGGAGACTCGCCGCGGCTTCTCCGCCCCCCTCCTCGGTCTGCATCAGTTTGTTCACCTGAGTGTTATTGGATGAACGGATGCTGGGGGAGAGGGTGGGAGGGGATGGAGCACAGGGTAGGAAAGTCACGTCAAGCCTTGGGCTGTGGTCATGGACAAGTGTCCATTAGCAAAAAAGGCCTAAATGCATATATTAACTGCTGAAAAAATAAGATGTTTACCATTGTGCTTCCCCACATGATATTACTATCAGTGTGGGTAAATGTTAAAGAAAAAAAGTGCTTTTCAAAACACTGCCTTGCTAATAAGGGCTAATAAATGAGACTTTTCATTCATGAGCATTTCTTAGCTGTGGCACCCCGGAATTCTAAAAGATGTATTAATAAAAGATGCAAGGAAATGATAGTTACAGGAAAACATCCAACTTCAACTCCTTGATCTGTGCATAGGAATTTCTAAGACTGCACTGATAAATCTCATGCCAAGAGTGTCCTGTGCAGAATAGTTCTATGCCCTTACTCACTGAAGATGCACCAGCTGAAATCTCAAAAAACAAACATACAGGATTCAAGCACTCACTGCCCCAGACTTGCTTGAATAAGTGAGGACTGAGCGGATCAAGTTGATTCCTCCCCCCCCCCCAAGATGTCACTTAGCAATGCATTCCCATAATATGTCCTATTCCAAAGTCTGACCCCAGCTGTGCTTGCGACATGTTATTTTTATAAAGAAATGTTCAAAAAATCTTGACAAAACAAAACCAGCAGTGCTTGCTACCTGGCGTAGAGGGTACAGAAGAGGAAGATGACTAAACCCACAATGCCCTGCGCGTCCCACCACTGCACGGTCTGCCCAGGGGTGCTGGTGGGCGATGTGGTGCTGCCGTTTGTGACCAGACTCAGCAGGCTGGGGTTGCAGTTGCGGTCTGGGGGGAGGGAGGGAGAATGAGACATGTCTCATCACCTTTCTCACCACATGAGGAAAGTCAAAACAAGCAATTCCCTACTATTACATATCTACCCACTACTACTGTCCACCGAAAACCATCTAGAAATCCCATTTTCATGTATCTCAGTCTAAATCTAGGAGGAAAAAAAAGAGACAGAGGTCACTACGAGACTAAGGACAGATACTCACAATGTTTATTTTTTTCCCCCCAAGCAAAACGAGGCAGCATTTGTTTAAAGGAGAAAAACATTGTTTGAAAAAAAAAAACATTACACACAAATAACAGAAATGCAGGCCTGCATAACTCAAGGTCCACTGGACGGAGAGCATTACTCACTGACACAGCCTTTCAAAGCAAAGCACTCAGGCAAGTTCAGTATGGAAGAAAGCTAACGGTTCAATAAAGGTATAGGAAGGAAAGGTAAAGAATAATGAAAATGTCTCAAAGTCAATTCACGCATCCATCAGCAGAACTAGAAGTTGACACAAAAGAACCAGAGGTTTAATGACTTAACCTTGCACTGTGAGGGTATTAGTACAACTGCTTAGACTACTTTAAAGAAAACAAGTGTTATAAGCACTGCTCTCACCCTAAGAACATAATTAAGGTGAACATCCCTGGTTTTCCACTGCCTTTCCTTTGCAGGTTCTGAGGATTACCGGAAGAACTCAAGAAAAACTACAAGAAGGGGCCCTAGCAGTGGAGCTGTGTGGACGCACTTACTGGGCTGGTTGGTCATGGCTGACCAGGTGACATACATGGTATACAGAGTGATGATGGAAGCCTGAAGCAGGCCAGACTGAGGCTGGACCTCCTGCAACAATAAAATACACAAGTTAACAGGCTCTACCCAGCCCTCAAAACCAACCCATGACTCCAGACATTGCGTTCATGGGCGTCTGGAAGGCGGAAAGCAGAGCCCCCCTTACCTGCACTTTGGGGAGGATGGACACGATGGAGACGATGATGCAGAAGATCAGGTTGAGGCTGATGAACACCTTGTTCTCCGTGCAGTCATCAGGCTTGGTGTAATACACATAAAAGAGCACCACAGCAGCAAAGGCGAGGGCGTAGTGCAAAAATGTGAATGTCAGCAGGCCTGGGGGGGAGCAACAGAGGGGCGGTCACATACTGGGGGAGCAAAACAACAAAGGTGATGAAGGCAGGAACTGGGAATGTATTTGAGGTACAAGCAGGTGACAGAAAGTAACAACAAAGAAGTTCAGAGCACTGGCATAACAGCGGCTCCCAGCCTTTTGACTTTAAAATCAATTGTGTGCAAACCAATTCTAATCATAATGATGGCAAAAAATGCTTTAACTCATTTAAACAGAAGTTAAGAGGAAGCTCCAGCCCTAATCTCGTCACGTTCCTCCAACCTGTGTGTAAACTGTGCGTCAGTTTACTCATGTTTTGCGTGTGCTTCTACCCCATTTTCACCATTTTACTCTGAGCTTCCCACCTCAGCCCTCATTATAAGAGTAGGGTGTTCCAATAGCCCCAGCTGGGGACAGGGGGTCCCCCACTCAGGTTCTTCCATTCTCCTCTGCTAGGAAAGTTACCTCGATAAAGATCACTATTTGAACCGCACATCATACAAAGGGTGGAAACGCCTGATTGAAGCTGGATTCCATCTGATGGCATTGATTCCTGGCCAACAGCAATAGTCAAGACATAGACCGACCAAGGGGAGCATCAGTACATGTATGCAAGAAGTGACAGGTAATCCCTTTGGGAAGATGATGATGAATATACAGTAGATACAGAATATACAAAAATAATAGGGGACGGGGTTAGGTATTTGGTAATTAGAAGATTTTTTAAAGCATTTTTGTTAAGATGGACAACATGGTGACAGTGGGCTACAAAGCTTCCAGCCTTAACAGGTGTCTGATTGTTTCTAATTTCATTCTTAATTTCTAATTTACTCTATTGCTTTTAGGTTTGGTTAGGCCAGCTTCCTGAGCAAAGATGTCCACGTGGAGGAGTTCCTCCGGGAATGCACAATGACAGACCGTCCGTGTAGCCCTATACCTGCAAACCAGCACTTGCGGTTTCCCTCTTCTGCATTCTCCACCCACGCTTGGTTCCAGGAATGAGCAAAGTCAATCAGCAGGATCAGCTGGATGATGATGAACACGAACGACCCCACCACTCCAAAGTAGAACCACACTGCAATGACACGATGTACACAGCCCCTCAGTGGCAAGCAAGTTACCGAACTAGAGAGGCTGCTACAACTCTAGAGGCCGTTTACACCCAGCCCTAGACAGCCTTAGCTGCTCCATTATTGCTCCTTATAAAATGAACCACTGCTTTCCTTTTGCTTCTATGTGGAAAAAAGAGTTTCCCCAATTGCCTTTAATTTTGTACTCGAATGTATAGTATAATCAGTCAAGCCAAAAAATAATATATTTCTGTGACAGAGAAAGTACATATATCAACTTCTCCTGACAATGCAAGAATGCAAGTATTATTGAGTTAAAAAATATTGTAATGTGCCTCATCCATCCTAGTCTGAAGTATAAAGTAAGGAGTGTGAAGCATTCTTTACAAATAGGTTCAAACACTTGGGCTATACTTTATCTAACAGTTCAAAATCTCATTATGTTCGCCAGTTTGTTAGTAAAGCCAATACATTTTTTTTGATGAAACACAATTATTTTCTACTTTAAATCCACTGTAAAAAAGAAGTCACATTTCATTCACAGTGCTTCCAGGCATGAATTATGTTCTCTGATGTACATTAAGGTAATGCTTTTTTTATGGATTCATAAATGAACATGATACACAGACTTTATTAACATTCCTATTGGAGATTAACCTTTACAAGGTCTCTTATTTTTTCCTTGATTGGGTAATTATTTCTAAAACCAAATTGGATTATGTTTTTCCAAGACACATTTAAAGGAAAAATGACGTTAAGGCATGTCCATTTCAAAACATACAACCTCAACACTTGGGTCAGTACCTGTGTTGAATGTCCCATCAGGAATGAAGAAGGCCCCCACTGTTATCCCAACCAGGGCAAGAAACTTGAAGAACCAGAACCTATAAATGCAATAATGGTCTTGTGAGAGAAGTACAGAAAAAAATGACCGTCTATTAAGTAGTTAATATGCAACAGTTTTCAGGTACATCATTAATTTCAATTAGTTATTATTGTGCCTTTGAGATATTATTCACACACCTTGATAATTTCTAGTTTAAGACTTCCAAACATTAAAAACATATGATAACATCTTCAGCTAAATTTCCACTATTTTAAAAAATGGCTTTGCTGTGGAGTGAAATATGTTTTACTTTAATAAATCCCAAAATTAATTTAAGCTGCTAAATTTAACAGCTGGAGAGCCACCGGGGGTGCCAGATTGCTTCAGCACTCACATTACTTATGGAAAAAAAAAGAAAACAAATAAAAAATGGTTTGGCCTATCATCACACATCAGGTGATGCCAAGAGAATTTCTGCATCTTATCCAGAAGGAATGGATCTAGTTGCTCTTCTCTGGACTGATTCCAGAGCAATAATCTCTTTTCCATAAGGTGATTGAGTTGAATGCTTAAAAGAACAAAGTACCAAGCAAGGTGCCGTCCTTTGGATGAAAAGTAAAGCCGAGGTCCTGACTCCCTGTGGTCATTAAAAACCTGTTTCTGGAAAAGAGCAGGGGTGTAACCCCGATGTCCTGGCCACATTTTCTCCTAGCCCTTACTAATCAAGGCCTCCTCATAATCCCCATCTATGAATTGGCTTCATCACTCTGCTCTCCTCCCCACTGATAGCTGATGTGTGGGGAGCGTTCTGGCGCACTATGGCTGCCGTCACATCATCCAGGTCGGTGCTCCACACTGGTGGTGGAGGAGGGGATCCCCATTACCTGTAAATTGCTTTGACTGGAGTGCCCAGAAAAGTGCTATATAAGTGTAAGGAACTACTGCTACTGCTGCCTCGGCTGCCCACTGCTGCTCTCGGACCTGGAAGTGCAGCTGTGGCACTCACCCGTTCTGGATAGAAGCTCGCGGGTCCTTGCTGCTTCTGACACGGATCATGATGACGCAGAAGAGGAAGAAGAAACAGGCCATGGCGAAGCACATGCGGTAGACCGACTTGTAGCCCACGACGATGTCACAGTTGACCTTGTTCTGTATGCCAGGGATGGAGGTGCCATCCACACAGAACCCTGGGATCTGAAGACAGCCATTACAAACAAAACCACGGAACATGTAAGAGAAAGGAGACTACAGCCACACAACAGCACTGCAGTAAGCTTACTGAAATTAGTTAATAGCCAATTATAAACTAATTTTATACATCCAGTATCTGCTTTGTGACATTTTTTTCAACTGTACAATATGACTTGTAAATATATTCTTGTACTAATCTTTAGATTTTTTTTTCCTGAAGGCATTTACTTCAATGTCATGGGCCTAAATGCAAAAATATGCATATATTTAAAGCTTTTTCTGTACAAGGACTCTGGTTTGTTATGGTGATGAAAAAATCTATTATTCAATGTTTAAATTGATCATGTAAGAGAAATGTTCAGCCTTTGAGGTAATCTTAAAACTTCAGTAAAAGTATAAAAAAAGATATATGTATGGAATAGCAAATGCAATATTAAATAACGTTAACATTTATATTAATTTAATAAAATATTAACAATCCAGTTGCAGACCAAACTAACAACTGGTGCAGAGCTCACCTTATTTTTTTAAACCCGTTACTTAACCACACAACTCTGCTGAGAACAGACTCCCAATTCCAATGATGACCTGAAGACTGAATGGAAACATACAGCAGGACACTTACTGAAGAAATCAGAACCGGCTCATAGTCCCACCCAGGATTTGAACTTACTGCCGCCAGTTCAGACTCCAGGGCCATCATCATTAGGCTAAGACGCTGACTCATGCTCGTGAGACTGCACAGCACGCGGGAGGCGTGGAGACGGTACCTTCTTGAGCTGAGCCTCCATGCCCGGCAGGATCATGATGATGGAGACAATGGTTCCCATGAGCAGGAAGAGGGAGAAGACGATGCGGGTGACGGTGGAGTTATTGGAGGAGGGGCAGCAGCCACACAGCAGGCAGGGGGCAGAACCGCACAGACATGACACCTGGCAAGAGAAGGAGGGGGCAGAAAGAAAGTAGGACAGGCTTTGGTACACAACCTTCTGCTTCACAACAAGAACTATGAAAATGAAAAACGACAGGCCCAGATAGTTCAGAAAGGGGCTCTCACAGCTGCTATTTCAGTAAGTCCTTGTGTATCTAACACACAGATGAACTGAAATAATCTTCATTTCTATTTTTCTTCACCATTTGTATTAGTGCCAATTTCTTTGTTTTTATTTCTAAATTGTAAAGATTACTTAAGCTGCTTACTTGTTTTGTCATCTTATGCACGTATTTGTTATTGTCAAACAGATTTGCGGAAACATTGTGTTAAATGTTTTGTGTGAAGTCTTGCAACGCACACTTCCGATCTGGGACAATAAAGGAAGTATCCCCACATTTCCATTATTTCTGACAGCAGTAAATAGGTGGTAGTGGGATCCCCATTTAAACATGAGGCTAGCTTCTGAAAGTTACTAAACAATGACTGTGAGAAATTTTCCTGTCTTGATTTGGAAAGAGTGATGTGTGCTGTCATTCTGCTTTATTAGCATGACAAACAGTAATTCAATCTCAAATCACAGCACAGGACACCACAGGGCAAACCTCATTAGAGCTGAAATATGGAAGAATGTAAACACTGGAAAATGAATACAGTCTGAAAGACCTCTAGTAAATTAAAGTTGGCACGCACACACACCAAAGAGAAATAAACGCCATGACAACACTGGTGACTTCATTCCAGTATGTGAAAGATTCCTGGTGCATGGTCATTTAATGGGCCTTTAAAACCAAAGGAGGGGGTGGAAATTAAGAAAGTGTAATGGCTGCTTCTCACACACTGCAGCCAGGAGATTCAGTCGACTTTGGACCAGGAAGGGCTGCCAAACGAACTTTAAAAAGACTGCTAAGAGGTCTTAACAGCTACAAGCTGGGTAGCCTCAGTGGAGGATTTAATAAAGAGCAGCTTGGATTTCACTGTGCTTAGCCCTTCTTTCCTAAAGGGGCCTTATATAACTGACTGCCAGGGGTACAGAATCTGATTCATGCAAGTCTAAAACAGCCTGTGACACGTGGGCACTGATGCCTTCACTGGAACTGGTCGACAACAATCATAGAGACAGATAAGTTTTCATGCAAATCCACCCTGATCCAGTACTGTGGTAGGAGTATGACAATGCTGTCATCAGCATAACAACATGTGACCGATACTGGGAACACATCAAGGTAAGTTCACTTCCTAGAACTCCCTCTTACTGTGGAATGATGTGTTTGAATCCAGATAAGACTGGATTGGAGATATTTAACAAAAGCTTATTTTGAGTTTTGGCATTAAATTACTTTACTGACAATAACTGTGAAAGTTCTGAAAACGCCTTTTCATAAAAGCATCCCCCCCTTAAATTATCATTTAAATCTAAAGAATAAAGATTGCAAAATCAAATATATCAAGAATTACACCTAGATTGGTGTTATGTCTCTCTCCCGTGCTAAACTACTCTAGCATATTTTATTGTAATTGCTGACACTGCTGGAAGAAATCTCTTGATGACCTACCGAATCTCTGTTTAGTCAGGAATGGGGTAAGGCCTTCGGTGGCTACATGGTACTTTTTTCAGAAGTTATTTATCCATCCTCAGAAAGCACTTATTCCTGGTCAGAATAATTACCCCCCTCGTCAATAATAACACAGGAACTGACCGAAATTCATGACAACATTGACTGAATTGACTCGGAACGAGCCCAATCCAAATTCGTGAACTAAAAAAAACTCAATTCTAATTATGTGGTCGAATTAAGTCTCTACGAAAGTAATGCCATTAGCAATTGTTTTGCCTAACCTCGGCTTTGGTGCCTAACGTCAAGAGATTACCTCTGGTTATGCATATGCATATACCTCTGATGGTTTGTAGCGTGCTGTAACAACTACAATGATTACGTATCTCGAGGTGGGACGGTGAAACCATCTTGAACGCAAAGCTGGATAAGAGTCAAACGTTTCTTTTTAAAATGGTAAGAAAAGAAAGGGCTGTTACTGTATGTACACAAAGTTTTCGGCTACCACGACTTCCTCGTTTCCACACGATTGTGCAAGAGATACCGACAAGAGCTACACTGTATCACATGATATATTACTGCGGGTTACCAATACCTAATACACGCACTGCAGGTGATAATATTTATTACTGCTTGACAGATAAACCACGGATAGTTTTTTTTTTGCTTCGACGTACTTTACACAATATCCCATGACTGAATAATTATCTATTCTTGGGATGTTGTTAATTAAAGGCCTATACAGGCAAATCAGCATGAACTGAGCAAAACCCACCAACGAACAAGTCACCCTATATCCAAATTGTATTGTAAATTATCCGACTAAAGATTTACAAGGGCAAGTGCTTCTGTGTGCATTACTAACTTTAAAAACTGAAGCACCTTTAATCAAAACGATTACAAAAAAAATTGCTGTAAAACTCGACTGGATAGAGGAAGGAAGAAAGAAAGAAACGGAAAATATCAAAACTTACGCAGCTGGCTACGGAACACAAGGCCAAACAAGCTCCCATTTCTGATTTTTAGACTCCCCAAAATCAGCTATGTTTAAAACAAAAATGAAAAAAAAAGATAGAAAACAAGCACAGCTTCCAGCTGGTCTCTCACGCTCTGACTGTACGGACACGCCTCTTTCTTTGACGAAATAACATCCGTAATGCAACACGGTTGACGGACTTCGGCGTTTTTCGGATCTTAGCGTATATTTCCGGAGCACATGGGATCCCTGAGGCTTATGGGCATGTGAATCTGCGTGTATGTAGGTCTTCACGAGTTTATTACTTCGACTTTTATCATACAAATTTTGGTACAACATTTTGAAGTTAGTATAATATAAGAGTCTAACATCTTCCGGGGGTTTGTAATTTTAAGGATGCTCAGCGTCCACAGTATAAACAGTATCGTTCAGTACTTTAAACGGTAAAATTAAAATATTGATAACGTTAATTTAACTAATTAGCAAACTAACTTTTATTTATTTTAACTTCTTTAAGACAATGTTGAATATACGCCATCCTTCAGAATGTGTTGCCTGGCATCATTGAATATTTTTTTAAATGAAGTTTTATCAGGCCACACTAAGACTGGATAACGAGAAGCAGGGATTCAACGTTAAGCGCAGTTAGGCGATATGCAATTATAATACAAAAGTGAAAATAAAAAATAAGGTAAAAAGTAACCGCTAGATGGCATAATAAGTAAGCACATTATTCCTGCTATCAATTATTATTATTATTATTATTATTATTATTATTATTATTAATAATAATAATAATACCACTACCAATAACACATGAACTTTGGTGCAGTAGAATACTTTGAGACATTATATTATCCATTATTAGGGTCCACACTTTCTGGAGAAACCCTGCCTAGAAACTTATTTACAGAGTGCTCTGTATCTGTCCCCCAGCCCATTGCATTTTTCAAGCTGAGTATGTCCAATAAAATTGAACGGTCTTGTACTTTCTCCATTCGGACTTCTCAATTTACCACGGCCGCACGGTTACACATCCAGGTGGGGCTGCACATTGGTGGTGGTGGAGGGGAGTCCCCATTACCTATAAAAGCGCTTTGAGTGAAGTGTCCAGAAAAGCGCTATGCAAGTGTAAGCAATTATTATTATTATTATTATTATTATTATTATTATTGTCACCCCAACATCACGACCCTCGTTTTAATTTGTTTCCTGGGTGACCACGTTGCTTGCGCGAGGGGATTGTTGAAGTCCAAATCCTCCTCAAGGCTGGAGCTCGCTCCGGCTTCAGCAGGGTTATATAAACCCTGACGGTGAGCCCGGGACTGTTCTTTCCTCCGCCACGTTAAGCCTCCAGCAGTGCCGCTGCCCTCATAAACCGCGGTGCTGTCTGAAAGGATTAGGGGAGAAGCGCCTTGCTCTAGGGTACAGGAGGAATTTGCGCAGTATACCTGAGGCAGCGTACGGAATATATTTCTGACCGCTCTTGAGAAACCAAGCCTTTTCTCTGCGTGTGCAGCATTAAGACATCGTGGTCGCCTCGACAGAGCGAGGGACGGAGGAATCCTCAGAGGTGCTTGTAGATACACACACAAGGAGACACAGCTGCTCACGCCTTGGCGATGAACTCAGCAGTGCCCGGCTGGTGCCCTCGGAAGGCATAACTCACTTGTCAGGCTGTGCAGGCCGACAGTTGTGAGCTTCTCCTCAGTACATTAGACACACTGCTTCAGCGGGCTGCTCCTCACTGTTTCCAGCCACCACCTTCTAGTCCTGCAGTTAGTGGGACATGATACAAGACGATATACAGTATCCTCGCGTGTTAAGTATTTTCCTTCTGCTTTAGTGCGGAAATAAATAAATGTTGTCTACAAAAGGATGAGTGCGAACAAAAAAAAAGTCCCATTCAGTGTGGTTCGTGAGATACAGAATAGCTCTTCTGATTTGTTCTCTTTCTTTAAGGCAATGAGATTTTGGGATAAAGGTGGCCCTCTGTGTTTCACTATTCATGAAGAGTGGTACCACTCTCACACTGTGCTTCAGAAAGACCCTGTTTTGAGCTGGATCAAAAGTCCGTCTTAGTCAGGACAATGCAGTCTTCAATGGTGGGCATCTAACAGTCAAATACCTTCCTTTATAGAATCAAGTCTCAGAGATTTAAGACAGGTACAATATTTTTTAGCTTACTGAAACTTCGAATGATAGCTTAGATGGTTTCAAAACAATTATATTTATTCAGTTAAATCACAAACTGTTGAATTGATACTTCTAATTTTTTATTTTGTATATTTTTGTAGTGTTAAACTAAAATATGGATGAATATTATGGCAGATTATTATCAGCAAAACACAATTTATAGGCATTTTTTATACTTCCCCTTGCCCTCCCAAATTAACAATGGCTTTCTAAAATGGCATAATTATCCCTAGAAATGGATGTAATTTGTAACGCTGTAGTAACATTGTACTGCTAAATGCTAACTGCATGTTGCCAACAAACGTATCTCTAGACAGTGTGGATGAAAAGAACGCTGTAGGAGTACACTGATAACAAAGGAAACATTGATGAATGATTATCAGCAAAGTAGAAATATAGGAAATTATTCTGTTCCTTTTGACTTTCAACTGATAATTGCTGATATGGAAAAGAAAGAAATAAACCTAATAAATAACATAAATTACAGTCGATTCAGTTAACCTAAATCTATCTGCACTCGACTGGTCTTTCTTGGTTAGCTCTGTTCCTTTTATAATCGGAACCAAAATGATTATTTCTTTTGAATTTGCATTTAAGTCAGAAAATAGTTTCTTTTTTGCAGATGCGTATTAGCAATTTTGCTGGGAGAACTGTCCACCAGTTTTGAAATCCATGTAGCATTTATCCATAATTATGTTTTAAAGTTATATGTGAGATAACTTTGCTTTGTTTTAATAGATTACTTGATTTAACACCCCAGGAACACTGAATAAAATGCTAATGGACTCAAAAAGCCAAGTGATACACTTTTACCCTGTGAAACTATAAACTCAGAATCTCTTTTGGACAGGAAAAAAGTACTAAGGATCAGAACACTGTCTGAAATATAGAAAACCTCTTTGTACTTGCTAATTCCCCTTCTCATATTGAATGGTCCTATTACCTTGATTATAGGCTGGATAAGAGCCCAGAATTACCCAATAAACAGAAACAAATCCTGGTTCTCTGTTACTCTGCCTGTTAATTGTATAAGTACATCAAACCAGGTTTGCTGATTTTTGTATGGAGAGGTTACAACTGGCAACTGTATCATATGTGTCTCATGAATGTAGTCAAATAAAGAATAAAGTTTTACTTTCTGACTTTTATTGCATCTCACAGACAGGTGGTCTGTTATGTTCACCCCCTACAGTACAATTTCAAGTAAATATTTTCTGCCACCTTCATGTTTTTATGGTAAACCTAAGGTTCATTACATCATACAAGTAATGTTGGAGAATTACTGTTAATTATTATTGTATAATAATACCACAATCTATTTACTGTGTCATGTTGATCTCCAACCCCCCCACTAAAAAAAACACATTCTGGAATTTGGTTTTTAATCTTTTTGCAAAAATCCCTTCTGTCATGCAGTTCCTCTGTGTTCTTCTAGTATTGCAGAGGAGTCTGTAGTGCCGTTAGACTACCATGAGTTCTTGATTCACCTTCTGCTATTTCCAATAGTTCATTGGACCTGCCCTCTGCTGTTGTCATCATCCGTATTGCTTGGTAGTTTCTATTTCATATAGACTTGAAAGTTGGCTTTGAAACTCTTACATGTAAAAACAAGTATTATTGACATTATGGACACTTAATTAATTATTAACACTTGGTTCTTTATTTAACCATTGAAGTCAATAGAGAGCAAAGCCTTGTGTGCAATGACAAGCCTGAGGGTACCCATTTATGCAGCAGGGTATTTATTCTGGCAGTCTGGGTCTAATCTAAAATATACAGCAGCTATTCCACTCTGGGGATTTGAACCCATATCTTTCTGGTCCAGAGCCCTTAATACTACTCCAAACTAGTGCCCCAGTTCTCTTTACCTTTGCCCTAGAATGGTTGTCAAAAAATTAAAGAAATTAAAATCTAATTAAGATAAAGAGGGCCTTGTAAGACTGGAAAGAGGAGGGGAGAGAAATGTGCAAGGTGAATTGACAAGTCTCCTTGCTCTCAAGACTCATGGATTTTCTGTGAGTTTAGCAGCAGTGTTCTTGTTAATTAAACATCAAAAGGTGTAGAAACACATAATGTCTTCCCTGACTTTCACCCTACGAGCTTCAGTGTGGTGGGGGAGTTCTCTGTGGGTGTGGAGGAAGGCTTAAAAAGGCTTTATATTCCCTAATGGGCTTGATGTCTAATTATGCAGTGAGTTTCATGGATAACAGATGTGCCTCCTGCAAACTTCGGGTTGAGTCTTCTTCACCAGGGCAGTACTGTTACTCAGCCAGGGCTGGGAATTAAACCATTGTCATTAAGACATCTCCCTTAAGACATCCATAACGTGTTGTTTTTTTACACATAAAAGGCAGCTTTAGTTTTATTCTGTCTTTTTACTGCTGCAATTGTCATGCACAAAAATGAAGGTGCATGACAATATTGTTTCCTGTGTGGATGGCCTGTCCATGTTATAGATTACTCAATAATCTAGTTACAGTTACTGTATACAACCTGGTGCAACAGGTACAGCAGGGTGTACAATGATAGGCAAACCAGTTTTCATGACTGGTAGAATATACCTGAAGATACTCCACCTTTTTACACTGTAGTTTAAACTGCACATGCTGAAATGTTTCTTTTATCACCCGATATTATCACCTGATACTAGACTAAAACCCACACTTTCACAATGACACATGACCATGGCCAGTCTGTCACTGGCTCCAGTACACACTCCCCCTTCCTGATGGAATGCTCACAGAGGAGAATTCCTTGTCATTTCTCACTGGTGTCAGCAGCCTCAAATAAAGCTTTTACTGAATAAAAGGGTTGTGATTCACATATCAACATTCGGCACAGGCAAATTTCACGTCATTTTCATGAGATTCAGCACTCATTCATAATAATTCTCTGTTAAGAGGGAGACAAGAAAATTACACGTTAAACTCCAATAGTTTTTTTTCCAATACCACTGCATATGAAATTAAAAGATCCCGGAATATTCTACTCTTACTGTTAATGCATTTGTGTTAGTAGTGAAACATTTTTTTTAAAAAGTGCAAGTGCATTTTATCAAAATTACAAGAATGCAGTATAGTACCGTACTGTAGGTGCTTTGAGTCTGCAAGCGGGCTTCGTGTGCAGAAGAAAGCTTATAGTTTTCGCATTTAATAATTAAAAATATTTTCGGCTTTTTTCATCGTCGCACATGCTAGTGCTGAAGGTCACTCTCTTTAATGGGTGTCCTTGTTGTAGAACGAGTAATGACATACATTGATAGTCATGATGAGTAACTAGACTATTGCAACCGTTAGGACCAGTACTGAGAAAAGCGTTAATACATCTGGAACAGCGGGGGCGCATCTTAATTCATGATCATGGGTGTTCGGGATTACTTCTATAAAGATACAAAACAATCGATTTGAGCTGCAACTCCCTTAATGTCATCGTGGCATTTTGCGATGCTTGATTTCTAAAGCAAAAGAGACAACTCTCCTTGATGTCCATGAAAGGAAATCAGGGAATCCATTTTTGTAGGACGGGACTCTTTTTTATTGTTAAGATATGAATGATTAAAACAAGTATGGTTTGAGGAATGCTGTATTAAGGTGAAGAATACAGAACAGAATGTATTTTGAATACTAAAAGTGAAGGAAGCGCAATAATAAAGAGCTATAGGTTATTTTATTCTGTTAATATGGGCGTGATACGCGTTTTGTTTGCGTGTCCAGAACCTGTTGATCACCTTGCAAGGCGGAAACAAAAGTACTGCTTCTCCTGGCAGGAAAAGCGTACCGATCCTAGCAACACTAGCAGAATGCTAAAACCGGAGCAGGACTTGAACTAGCTGCTGAGCGCATACCATTTTGCGGGTAAAGAAAACTATAGCCTTTAATCGGGTTGTCTACCTCGTGTCCCGTCGTATGACAAGTCGTGATTTACATAACCACTTAGACGAGCAAAAACGTCCCCCCCCCCCCTGAGAAGGTAAACCCAATGTCTAACGGCTGGGCACACAACCGCAGTTACAGCACAAGGCAAGCCCACCATCCCCTCTCCGGCTCCTAATTCCCCCACCCCTCCTTGGTCCGCTTTGGTACCGTCGCCTCCCTGGTACCCCGAACACACTCTAATCGCAAGTACTCAGAACCGTCTTGTGTAAAGATGCTGTAGAGCCTGGAATCCGTGCGCCAGCTGGTTCAACTATAAAAAGGGCTGCTCGGCGTTTTCCTGTTACAATGATCGCAGGTTAAAAATAGAAACGGATTTTTTTTCTGGTTCTCGATCAGACGCGTTGATTTCATCTCTGGTAAGTCTTGGGTTCCCTAGTATTTCTCTCTCTCTCTTGGGATGTGGTTTTAAACAAGGCTAACAACATCATTGTGGTTTTAAGTGTGTTGGTGCTCCGGGCATAAACATTTGATTGGTGTTGCAGGAGCCTGGACAATAGCAGGCAGTCGATATGTTTTAGCAGTGTTGTGTGCGAACATTGCTGGTCACAACCAGATGAATAGCGTTTATTTTCCCCGTGATGTGTCCGTTCAGGTATGCATGTAAAGTCTCCCGCACGCATATATACGATGATATAAGAAAACGGGATGACAAAGGAGGGGGGAAATCCGTCACTGTTTTTAGTTCACCCTTGCTTTGTGAAATACTAAGATCATTTAAACATGTCACCTAGGGGTCAAGCGTTTAATTATATTTGAAAAATTTAATATACACCTAGTCTGCTAATCGTTGTATTTGGTTAACAATAATAAACAACAATTATAGTCATACTGTTATTATTGCTAATAAACGGGCTCTGCACTGTATTATAGAAATATAGTTAAAGAAGCTTTGAAAAGAATTGATCATCTATAAAACATTGAAGGTCGTTTCATTAATAAGAGAAAACTACTTCTGAACCTCAATTATTGTTCTATATACTCCCAGTTTGTTGTGCTATTCCCAAAATCATACCTCTGATATTCATTTGAGTGTAATCAAAATCTATGCCTCTTTGTAAAGTGAGATAGGAAGGGGAGTTGGAAGTGGTGCTCCCTGAAAGACATTTGAACTTCTGCAATGGCAGATTTCTTAACTGGCACTGAAGCAGTGAGGTTTCCCCCCCAAAGGTTTCAAATGACAGCTAGGACTGGAGCTCAGCTCCATGGCCTTCACTTCACTGGAACGGGGACTGCAGCGTTAGTCCTCTACCAGTCGGCTGGCGTGGACATTTTGGGTCCTCCCAAAAAATGACTTATTGATCTGATGAGTTCTTGTAATGCTTATTTTCTGAGCTCACACGGCATTAGACAAAGGGGGATCCCATTGCCTGTTTGATGGGTGGGCGTCCCATCCAGGGTGTGTCCTGCCCTATACCTGTTGCTTGCCATGTTAGGCTACCCCAGCGACTCTGTACTAGATAAAGAGGTTTAGAAAATGGATGGATGGATCCTCTTGCATCACCCATTTGTAAATCATTCTTCGGGACAGATACAGTAAGCCCCCAAGGCGTTTTGCCTTATTTTATATTTATATTAAATATTTTAGCTTTGTTTGATCCATAATGTACGTACCACTGAAGGTTCACATTGCACATTGCTTTCTTGCTTTAACAGCAGGGACGATTTGTTATTACCGGTAGGACACTCACAAGAATTTGCCGATTGGCATAAAGGTGGGTAGTGGATTCTGACTGTATGTCAGGTTTTTGGATTTATAGTAGTCAGACACAGATTCGTATTCTGATGGCAAACCAGGTCTTGTGGGTATTATTGTAATTCTGGTGGTTCAGTAAACTACTGGTTTGCATATTGGTTAATAACCCTTAATGTCTCTGTGAAGAATACTGGGAGTTAAGACAGCCCTTGACAACACTTAGGAAAATGAAAACCTCTTCACTGCACTTGGTTCTTCACTAAATGGTTAAGGCATTTTAAGATGGGAGTGGGAAGGTGTGTTTGTTGGTTCATGACTATTAATAAGAAAGGAGATCTGTGACAGTTTTTCAGAAGACACAGCTCAGCTCTAAACTGTAAAACATGCAGAGTCTGTTTTGATTTTTCCCTTTGCTGCTTGTAAGTGCAGTGGAAAAGAAAACAGACAATATCCAACAGGGAGATAATTGAGATGTGATTTAATAGCTCTGGCACTGCGACTGACTCCTTGTTGACTTGAAGGACATGGGCAAAACCTCCTGGTGCTCTGTGCTCTACCTCTGGAAGAGCTCAGGTTATCAGAGGCTGTGCAGCAGCTGTGGTCGATTCATGGTTCTCCTACTTTTTCCTGTTAAGTTGCTTTGAAGCAAAAACATCCGCAAAAAGACTTGTATTTTGCATTTATTGCCTACAATCTATAATTTGCTTGGAACTCAAAAACCAAAATATCCACTGATTTCTTTCACAGCTGGAGCAAACTAGAGAAGAACGGCTATAACTTTAAACACCTTGAGTACATTTAAATTGTGTCCTCTTTAACTTTACACAATATCTATCTTTTTTTCCAAACTTTGCATTATATTTATTCATTGATCTTATCAACTGCTTTTCATCCCAGAGAATCCTGGACTGTGTTATATGTGCATCGCTTACTTCACCACTGATGTACAGGACTCCCCTCTGACAGTCAATGTGCCTGCAGCCTGTCTACACAGCTGACCACCAATTGAGCTAAGAGGGAACTTTAGGGAGGCCTGATTGTACAAGACCAGTGTGAAGCATACCTGGGACACAGGTTAACATCCCTAGTCTTATGAACAGTTCCATGGGACCTTTAATGACCAGGTGTCACGATTGTAAGTCCCTCCTCTTTAGGGCGCTCCGGCTCTTTCTCGTTTCTGTTCATTCTTTGCACCTGCCTCCTGTTCCAGCCCCTTCCTGTAAAAGCCAGACGCTCCTACCAATCTGGGCTCAGCTCTGGAAGATGGACCCCTGGAAGCCCACCTACCAGCAGGTCCAGGATTGGCCCGACGGCATAGGCCTCGAAACGGCATCCTGACCATCTGCGTCCGGGGCTGGGAGCGCCTGGCCCTGTTACCCCTTTTTATTTCCCCGACCCTTCACCGGATACCGCTCCGGCTTTTTACTTTTGTCTTCTTTGTCATGGATGGATCACCCGGCTCTGGACTTTCACCCCATTCTGGATTTCCCTTCGGACTCCCTTTGGACTTGTTTGCCTGGACCACGCCACCAGTGCACCGTCGACACGCCCCCCTGTTCGTCTACCAGCCCTATTCCCAGTCTCATTTCCTCATGTTTGTTGCACTCCCTTCCAGATTCTATCGTCTGCATAAGGTCCTGAAAAACGCTTCGTGACACCAAGTGGAAATTCTTGTTCAAAGGATGATGCCTCCAGGTCCATCAGTAACATTTACATCTTGAATCACTGCCATTAGTATATCATAGTGATTATCTATAAGGTTTCCCATTTAGATTTTGAACATGAAAGTTCAATGAGAGTCGCACTTCAAGAAACATAGAACAGTCTGTTATTGATACGTTTCTGGTATACATGTTCTGATCTTACTGCTCAATCAAGGCTTGATGCTCAAGAAACTAGATAAATAGTAAATGCCTTGGTCTCCACCCAAATTGATTATTTAATTAATTGGTTATTACCAATATTTCTGGGTAAGGGTGGGCCAGTGGCATGGCGCTTATTGCTGCTGTCTCTTGAGTCTTGGGTGCTGGGTTTGAGTCTTGCCAGGGGCGCCTTAGGTGTGGAATTTACATGTTCTGTTCATGTTTTCATGGGTTTCCTTTAGGTCTTCTAGTTTCCTCTCCCTTTAATAGCTGTAAGTTCTGCTTGTGTGTGCTCTATGACAGACTGCAGTTGGATAAGGTGCAGTACGCCACCACTCTTGTGTGGACTGTGTGGATGTCTGAAATTGGATGGTTTACATTCCAGACTAACTGTACCCACCATTAATTCTCTTCTGCCTTTCTCACCTTGAGGTGCTGACTGAAGTACAAAATGTAAAAGCGAAACGTTTTCATTCTTCTCTGTCATACCATTTAAATCTCTTTTATTTGGCTGTTTACCACTGTTTCTCTTTGGATGCTTTTCCAGTCTCGTTGCCTTTCGTTACATTTTTTATTGAAGAAGGCACCTGTACAGTATATGTAGTGTTTAAATATTTGACCTGATTTCCACATTATTACTCCATGACTGCAAGAATTGTACTGAAGTAATACCTGTTCTTGATAAAGTGTCAAACGATCGCCATGTTTCAGAAAACATAAAAGCATGGTACCCTGTTGCTTTTTATAAATGTGTATGTGGATTTAACCTTACAGGCATGTTTCACTCCTCTCTCATTCTCCCATTGGAGAATAAGAGAAAATAATCTAGTATTTCTTATTTTTCAGCTTCTCTTTTCTGCCTGGAATGTAGAAACCTACGAAACCAGTCTGTTGTGAAAAGCAGTTACAGTATACTGTATGTGTTTTCCTACAGTGTTTCTGTGTCATATGCTAAATAATGCTTTTAATGATATGCATGATTATAGGCTTGAAGTTGTTTTTGACCTTTTTAGACTTTTTCCCATTTTTTGGTCTCTCTCGCAATGAATTGTTCTCATCTTAGGCAGTGTGGCATGCATTTTTTGCTTCACAATGTATCTGTTGTTAACATGTTCCATGATCTATTGTCCCTGTATCTCTTTTGTGTATTTCCAGCTTACATTGTTCTATAGTACTGTATGTGAGCCTCTGTGGCTACACAAAGGCAAAGACCGTAAAGAACCACTTCAGTAAGGAAACTCATTAGGGCCATTTTTATGTAATGCTTGTAATCTGGAAATGAAAATCGTCATTCATTCTCAGAAATCAAGGATGTTGAGAATGTCCAGTACAACAATATGCTGGAAACGTAAGAGAAAACAGTGACCTCTTTTCCACCTCTGTTGTGGATAAAAATGGCTCACAGCCCCTGTGTACTATTTCAGTGTAAAGGAAAATATTTCTCAAGGCTGAAACAGAGATGGGGATGTGTATCGAGTCTCAGTAATAGCCTTCATTGGAAAGCTTTAGAGTAGGAATCTCCGATCTCATTTCTTGTGTGAACACAGAAAATAAGCAATGTTTGACTCAACAGTGGACGTTTATTCAAAATTTTTTTTAAATCACCGGGAGCTCAAAGCCTTTGGAGAACAGTTAAATTGTTCCAACTGAGCTTAGCTGGAACCAGTTAGCCCTTCGCCTCAAGTTTTAAAGCTCCTGATAACGCCTTGTAAAAGCTACTTAGGGATTGCAGCTCTCAAGGACCAGAGCTGGGGAGTGCATTGTGCAACCTTAATTTGCTCCTTGAGCACACTCCTCACAA